GCCCTGAACAGTAGCAGCTTGATATTCCACTGCACCTACGCCTGATATTGACAGAGCTACCCCTGTTTACACCAGGCTCTTTCGACCTTGAGCCCTTTGAGACCGAAAGTGTCTTTTTGTTTTATATTTGTACAGCCCCTAGCACAGTGGGGTCCTGATTCATGGCTAGGCAGGGACTGCTGCTGTACAAATGATAACCAGTGATAATAAAAGAGCATCACTTTATCAAATCCACTCCTCCACGGGCTGCACAGCCGTGAAATGTGCCACTTTTATAATGCTGTTCAATAAAAGTAGGAATGCCTAGCTCTTCTATAACACTGTTCCTCAGTAGATCTCAAAGCACTTTGCAAAGGAGGTTGGTATCATTATCCTCATTTTACAGATGGGGAAACTGAGGCACGGAGCAGGTGCAGAAACTTGCCCAAGGTCACCCAGCTGGCCACCGATAGAGCCAGGAATAGAGCTTACGTCTGCTGAGTTGCAGTCCAATACTCTATCCACTGGGCTGCACTGCCTCCCACATAGGGGAGAACGTTTCACAAATATGTTGTTAGGTATTTTTGTTGTATTTCTCCCCCTCTGCCCCCCAAAAGTCAAAAATTCCAGTCAGTTCTTTCATCGTCTCACCACCTGGCAGGAGAATTCCTGCCCTCACCAGTAAAGAGGTGTCCGAATCTATGGGCCTTGTGAATGAGACGTATTGCATTTCAGCAATGGGTCCAGTTTGGGAACGCTGATCCAGTTGTTCTGTCTCTATGAAAGTACAAGCGCTGCAGGGAAAATGGTATAATCTGTCTGTCTCATTATTATGTATTACAGCAGTGCTTAGGACCCTCCCACCCCCGTCTTTTTGCTCTGTGTTTGTCCAGCATCTTGCACAATGGGGTTCTGGGCTATGACTGGGGCTCATAGGTGATACAGTAATATAAATAATAATAGACCAGAACCCCGTCGTGCTAGGAGCTGTACAGGCAGCACAAGAAGACAGGCCCTTCCCCGAAAGGTTTACAGTCAAATGTATTTACAGCAAACCATTCCAGTGGGGATTCCAGGACTGGATCTAGGCCACATGATGATATTAGTTCATTGCAGTGCTGAGGGCCCTGGGATTGATGGAGCAGTTCATTCCCAGTCAGAAGTCAGGGAGGTGAGGCTTTATGACTGGGTTGTGACTGGTTTATGTGTTTTCTCCAAGCTGAAGTAATCCAGATGGTAGGAGCCTCTGGCTTCCAACTAGGCTGGTCTGTGTGAGTAGTCAGCACGCTCCCCGATCCATTATGTGTTTAACTTTGCACATATGGGTGGTCTCACTGGGGTTATTCGTGCTGTGCTGTGTCTGGGCCATCCTGCTCAGCACCCCCTAGCATTGAGCTCTTACTCGGTTGAGGGACGATCAATAAGTGCTCCCATCGGGCAGCCATGTTTCCAACGAATCTAAGCACAACCTCTAGGTGTTCAGAAGGCCTCTATCGCCATAGTACCGAAGGGCCAACAAACTTAGCCACCGCTTCTCCTTCTCAGCTCCCTCCGAAGCTGTCTGTTTCCATGGGAATGGGGTTGGAAGTGAGTGACAGCAATCAACAGAGTTGTTAGGGCCTCTTGTAAATTTCAGCGACTGCTGGCTGATGGTGACGGGCGCCCCATTTTGTCTCCGGATGGCTGTCAGTGCTTGAGTTCTCTCTGATACTCCTACTGATCCAAAGCCACATCCCAGTTGGTTGGGCTGGTCAGACTCGGTCACTGGGTGCCCAGCGTCCCACCCTCCGTGGAGATCCTGCCTCTGCAGCTGCTTTACAACGACAGCAACTTTTGAAAATTTCTCATCCCGGCCCCTTCTGAAATCTGCCTTTACATGCGCCTGGAATCAATCCGAAATGCCAGTGCACAATAAGTCAAACTCTGCTCTCAGTCATATCCATGCCAATCCCTCTGAAGTCAAGTGCAAACAAGAGCAGAATTTGGATGGATAGACACTCCACACCCCATGGCTTAATACAGTCAGCCAGGTTTCACACGGTCCTGCTCCTTGTCACTTACAGCAGTGCAAATGGGTGCGACATGCTTCCATTCTGCCTGGGTAGCTCATGGTTGTGTTGCTGTAAGGGGGAAATGTTCAAAGGTACAAATGGTAAGTGAGGCGCCTAACTCCCGTTGGCTTTCAGTGGTGCCCAAGGGCCTTGTGTGCCTGTGAAATTCTCCCCCAACATGATGTGCAAGGCCGTGGAGTGTCAGGCCCCATGTGCCCCAGTTGCTGATCAGAGAAGACTCAAATGGGGGACCCATCTCACTATAATAAATCTCTACACACACACACACACACACACACACACACAACT